TGCACATCACAACCGCAAAAAAAAAAAAAAGCTTCAGCTGAAATTTGCACTTCTTAGACATCAAAGTCAGCCCATGGACAAGACAGAAAAAAGTGAGCCTTTGCAGAATTACTTGCTAGTTTCGATTTGAACTCAACAACTTTTGGTTATTGCATGGGAGCGAATCCTTCTGGGGATTTAGCTACGTGTCACCTCCACATCGCACTGGTGTAACAACTGGCTGCCTTTCATGCACCTTCAACACAGCTGCCGCTGCTCAGTGAGCCCAGCGTGCAAAACATTACACATGCTATTTTAAATGAAACTGGAGGGCATTTAAAAAGCCTTTGCTCTGTGTGCAGGAACACTGCATTGCGTGTGTTCGAGCCCAGTAGGTAAGGAAATTCATATCGCTGAAGTGGAAGGAAATGCCTCTGATTGTCGCGGCTGGAAAAGGTGAGTGGCATGCTAGTATAAACCAATGATTTGAAAACAGAAATGGGAAACAGAAACGAGGAAAGGAGCACTGTGTACACAACTGAGCCCAGCTTCCACTGAAAGACCGTGGAAAGGTGTCTTTACTACACATTTTGAAGTTGCAGAGGCTTACATTGACCCGCATGGACTGAGTAGTCCCGCTGCAGGCAATGGCCCAGCTCCTAGAATCCTAGAATCATAGATTTCATAGAATCATAGAGTCCTGTGCTTAAATGAAGCACACGAGTACATTGTCACAGGAGCAGGACATAAATGGGAGTTGCATCAGATCTTTAATCTTTTTCCTTTTCTTCTCAATGCCCCTCCTCTTCCCAAACCACCACCACATCAGTAACATGAGAACAGTAATACCCATCTCAGCAGGGTACACGAGGATTAGCTTAAAACTGTTTTTACCTTTCATCTTTTTAACTCCCAGAAAAGAAAATATTCCTGTATTTTACTTTTTTTTATATTTCAAAAAGCAATTTGTTTCTTGCCCAGACCTTTTCAGCTAAATGCCCTGGAATATTTCCACCTTCCTCAGAACTGATGGGTGATAAATCAGCCCAGAGGTGTCCGCTAGCAACAACAGCCTTAACTTGCTGCAGTAAAATGGCTATTTAATCTGCTGACATCCAAAGGTTTCTTCCTCAACTGGTATTCGAGCATAGCGCTGGCCCATTGCATTATTTGAAACAAACCTGCTTTAAAATACAAGAGGGAAAATGAGTGATGGCTGGACTTCTGCTCCTCTTCTGTAAGATATTATGTCAAAAGGAGTCTAAAACCCAACATCCTCTAATTGCCAGTTTGGCAGCAGACGCTTCCAACTCTGAAACTCCTTGGGCTCAGAATAATAAAGGTTTTGCATATAGCAGGGCTCCAGGGTGGCTTTTACCTCCTGAGTAACTATATGAGAGTGGTACCTCAAGTTCCCAGAGTGCAGGTCCCTTTGTGCTAGGCACTGAGCAAACATATAGAAAGGGGCCATCCCTGTCCCGAGGAATTTGTGGTCTAAATAGACAAGCAGGCTGAGTGGAGGAGAGGGAGCAGCAGATGTGGCCAAACAGGTGAAATGACTCTCCCTGGGGTCACGTTGTAGGTTAATGGTGATGCCAGGCACAATGTTTCTGACGCCTGAATCCCAAAACAGCCTCCTCACCAGGAGCCCAAGCTTTTGCTCATCTCCTAAACCTCCTCCCTTTCACACATTCCTCCCCTCTCCTCCCATTAATCTTTCTTTTTTGCAAACTTGCGCAGTCGTCTGCCTCTGCTGTGGACTGAGACAGGCTGAGCTTTCATCTCCACCTTCAGCTGGGCAGCCCCACTTTTCTCCTCCTCTCCTATTCACTGCCTTCCTACCTTCCATACCTGGCATAGCACCCAGACCCTGGCAGGCTGGGGAAGCTGAGCCAGCTCACATTTTTTTAGCTGACTTTTTTTTTTTAGCTGACCTTTAGTTTTTTAGGCAGGGATGGAGGTCCAGGCCCAGCTTACACCAGTCTTGACGTGCAAAGTGCTATTGAGCTGCTCTAAGAAAGAAACTCCCTTCTGCAGCCTCAGATGCCTTTATTTTAAAACAGCTTACAAAAATGGGGTAGAAAATTATAGAGTCAAGGCTTTGCCTATCTTTCAGTTTCCTGTGCTCCCCTTCAAGCTATTTACAAACACTTCTTACCCACTTCAAAAAAAAACAACTGCTCTGGCCAGGTTGAATGAACAGCAGACACCAGCAGATAAGGTTTTAGCAGAAACATACTCACTGCATGTTGGTTACTTCAGGCTGGTCAAGCATTGAACTGTTCAGCTCATCTTCCTGCTGCTGCCATTCCACAATGCTCTGTGAAAGAAAGATGCTGCGGTACCTACTTACAGGAGAAGTTGTTGAGGTAGCAAGTCTTAGCAGGCAAAACAAATCCAGTCCGGTCCTCTGAGCAGAGATCCGACCTGTCTCCGGTGAGCCCTTGGGGATGGTTAGCTCCAGGCAGCTGCACGGAGAATTTGGATGGCTCATTTTATGACATCTCTCTTTCGCGGGGAAAATGGATCATCTTCTTTTTCTTAGGGCGAGGTAGATTATCAGATTTGGAGTAGCAGCTCTCAGACCTGGTGCTCTTTCTGAAAGGATCAGCTGGAACCAGGTGAGGAATCATCGACCTCGCGACAACTCACCACCAGCCTTGAGAATCCGTAAAACCTGGTTATTCCCAGGATTCTGGTAATGGTGATTTTTGGATGGCTATAAACCAACCGACACATCAAGAAAGGGAAGTTACCTTTTGCACGAAATGTTTGCTATGCTAGACTGGTGTCACTGAGATTAGCTGCCAAACCGAAAATGTAGGTATGGTCTTGGGAACAAACAGGTAGGAATGGATGCATTTTCTGGCTAACACAACACCCCTAGAAATGCACAGACCTGGCTGCTTCCAGCAAGGGCTACAAGACACACCTTTCTCCCCAAGGCACGCCAGCTGATTAAGTCCTGGTTTTCTTCTATTTTTCTAGTAAAGAATCAGCAGAAGGTTTCCAGTCCCGCATTGCAAATAAGGCATCCGTACACTTTACAGTGGGCTAAGAGAAAAACAGACGAGCAAAGCCAACAGCTTTCCTGTGCGTATCAAGTGTCTGGATTTTAGAATAACGAAAAGACATGGCACTATTGTCCTGTATTTTATTAGGAAATTAACAGGCTGATTGATAACCTGAAGTTACATAGTGAATCTCATTTAAAAAATGTTCAAAATCATGACAATAATTTTGATTTCTATAAAACATAATGCCCAGATACAATTCCTGTTTACGCCTGTAAATTTCTGCACCCTTAACATTTATCTACTGTACAGCAGCGAGGCTGGGTAATTGTAACATGATGTGTAAAGTTAAATACAGTATACTTTCCTTTGCAATCCAAGTGAAAGAGATGAAATGTTGAAAAGAAAGCCTGGAATATGAGCAGCACTATGAGAAGGTTCTCTGTGATCTCAGTTCATTACACATCAGTATTTCAGACTGCTCAAAGATGTCAAAGACTGGTGATGTTAACTGCTGTGCAAAGTTACGAGGCTTTAGGGCACCAGTTTTCCAGGAGAGGGAGAGAGACCACCATGGGGTACGGGCTCTGCAGTGAGGGGAACAGGGTGCACTGGATGAGTACGATGTTTAAAGTGCAAAAGCTGATAAATCTGTCTACATCTCCTTCTTTTGCCAGCGGTATGGGCTACCACCACCACCACATTGGATTAAATAGCTTTTCCTGACACTCTGTCAGCTTTAAAGACAGTACAGGTGCTGACTATCTGCAAAGGTTGAATTTCAATCTTGGTAATCAAAGCCCAAATCCTGCTCGCCTTGCGTACGTGAAAAATCACACTGAGCCAAACATTGCTGGCTTTAGTGCAGCTATCCCGTGGGGTAATGTGGTTCAGCTCCGTGGGTTGTGGCTGAGGCCCTCGGTCCTCTAAATTAGAGCTGGCACCTTTGAATACCAAATGACTCTTGTAGGGAGTTGAATTTCTCAAGACATTATTCAGGAAACTGTTCAATTGTCCTATATGCTGTCTGGATGAGAGATGCTTTCCGGAACTGGGGCCTTGATTCCTGTGAGGATTACGGATGCTCAGTAAGTGGCCAGCTCAAGCACTTGACCAGCAAGTCCAGTCACTTCAGCCTCTTGTACTATTCTTGGTGACTGTAAGCTAAAACCCAGTAGACTTAAGAAGCTGTGGGCCTTCTTTTTAAAAAGCTATTTCAGGACAAGTACATTCAGACCACTGTGTTTTCTATTTATATATAAAATCTTTGGCAACAGTTTTCTAGAAAGCAGAATCATTTTTTTCTATGTAATACTTTATTGTCTCCCCATGAAAAACGGATATCTTAAAAAATCTATAGCACTTTCCACTATAAATAGTATTGTTCCAGATTAAGGATTAGTTCCTCCCTGAAGCAAAACAGATTTATAAAACCTGGTCATTATCTGATAACTGTTTATGTAGCAATGTTAAAATAAAACAGAAAAAGAAAATCATTCAGTATGTGGTGTGTCATTTTCTAGAATGTTAGTGTACGTTTATACAATAAAAACAATATAAGTTATCCTAGTTTGTTTTAAAAACTTTAGTAGTAGAAATATATTGCTATCTGCAAATTCATAAACAGAATGCACTTTTTCCATCTAAGTTCAAGTATTATTAGAATATTATTATTACTCTTATTATTATTAAAGGAGATCTAAATTCTTGCCGTTTTGCCTGTCTTTGCATCATTTTGGTCTTTCTGAGAAATAATGAGTAGTGATCATTTGTTCATGAACAAAATCAATGTGGAGCTTGAGTAAGTTTTGCCTGGTTGAAGACAGCCTGGCAATCCTTCGGCTATTATAAGAGGCTGTAGAAGAGTGTATTGGAGACTAGTGGTAGCGATACAGTAGTCGCGTGTTTTCTTGGATGGCTGGTGACCTTAATTCCTTCCAGGTTCTCAACATTCAGTCCTGTTTAAAGGAGAAAGGTGGGAAGAACCCAACCCAGACTTATACCACATCAGGATATATCATCTTCGTTTCTTCTCGGTACTGTCAGTTGCTCGTAGGTCGGCAGGGTGTTATTAGGCAGGAAAAGATCCGAATTGACATTGTTGCCTCTCTGAGATGATCTGTTGTTCCCTTGATCCCCCTGCTGACGGGAAACCAGATGATGCAGCATATCTGTAATGAGGTTCAGCTTCTGGTCCATCTGTGTAACCTAGGAAGGCAAAGGGAAGGTTTGTTTGGTAGCAGCACGTGAGGAAACTGCAACAAACCACATGATGCAAACGCAATAAAAATAAAAGGACAGTTTTCTTAATTAGGATCACAACAACCTCTACGAAGACACCACAGATTCACAGTCCATCAAACACAGCACTAGAAATCTAACGCAATAGGTCAGAGTTGGATGAGGACCAGCCATTAATACTCACCTCTGGTATGTGCTTTGACACTCATTTTATACCTGGATGAACGCATGACAAATGGGCTTTTAAAGAGACGTACTGGGATAGAGAACTAAGTCCTAGAACTAAGTTTCTGTGGTTTTTTGTTATTATTATGTCCATACTTTTTGGAAAACATGATAAACTTCTAACACGCTTATATGCCTTAATAATACCAATATGCTCTCGTAAATATCTGCTCTACTTGTAGTGATCTAATCAATGCTAAGCTAGGACTGATGGATACTCTTTGTTACATTTGGGCCCAATTACCAGCTCAGGCCACAAAATGCCCCACAGATATTTTTGCTGGTGCAAGCGTATAGCAGCTGGGGGCTGTAGCAAGGGCTGGAAGTGGGGCACGATCCAGTTCTACACTCTCAACCCCCCAACGATAGTGCTTACTGGGACTGCTGTTTGAACGACATGATTCACAGCAAGCCAGACATTCTTCTAAGAGGGCTGAAAGCTAATTTTTCCACTTGGGGGGCTGCAGGGGAATGTTCAGCCTGAATCTGTAATGCTCATTTTCTTCTGCCTTTAGACAGAAGCCCCTTAAATAATTTCATTCTTTTTTTTTTTTCTTTTTCTTTTTCTGCTCTTTCTTCTAATCTTTAAGAGAAATATAATGACAAATCGGGCTACTTAATAGAGACTAGGTTATGGATTTGTCCAAATTTAGATTCTATTTGGTGTACACTTGTGGTACTTAGAGGAAAGCCAAGAATTAAATGTTTCCAGGAACAACACAGATTCAGTCTCTTTTTTGCATTTTCTAATCAAGAAGTAATCTGTACCACCCCTTTTATCTGGCATGGGAAGCCCCCCCATCTGTGCTGTCTCCGACGTACTGAGCCAGACGTCCTGGTCACTGCCAGCTTCAAAGTCATGCCCACTTTCTGCCCCTTGACATGGCAAGCATTGAAATCGGGCATTAAGAGTCTTTCTTATGGCCTCCTACTCTCTTCTACAAGCCTAAAGAGAAAGCCACGATTTTGTCATTGTAGTCTCTAACCCATCGATCCACAGGGATCCTAAAGCACTATTGTAACTTCTAGGCTAAAAGATATAATAGGTTTTAAAAAGGGAAAAGAAAGTAAGCAGAAAAAAACCATGATAGGAATAAATTGCTGCCTAAAATATCTGCTCGAAAGTAGTGAAAGGCACATAAAACCGCCAGAGAGAGCATGAGTGGGAGCAATTTATATGTGCCTGGCTATCATCCAAGTATCACACAGGATAGTAAAAGACAGTAAGGCTGAGCAGAACATCAACAAACCTGGAGGATTTCAGCAGGGACTAAAATGTTTTTCCACCATAGAGAAAACGCTGTTTTTTTCAAACACTTTGTACAACTGGTAGGGAAGCAGATACAGTGATTTAAAAATATGAGGTGCCAGAGATTTATACTTTGCAGCTGGTTTTGAAAACATTAGGGAAAGCACCCTAGATGGTACATGAAACGCTAGTAATTCTGGATGGAAATGGCTGTTGAAAGATGAGATTCTTCAAATGAGGAAGCTGAAGAACACATAAGTTCAAGATTTCTAGGAGAAAACACAGATGGAAAATCGAGCAGATCATCAGGTTTCCATTTCATCACTATTTGTTCACTCCCTTAAAAAAAAGGCAGGCTTTGCCCAAATGGTGCCCATCACAGATGGCAAACCCGTGATACTCCAAGCATGACAGCACAAATCAGTGCTCGTGAAGCCTGCAAAAATATATCGTTCCTCCACCTCCCGCTGCCCAGGTATCACTTGCTTTCTGAGACAGCTGTGCTGGAAGGACTGTAGTGGAAGACTGCAGACAAACAGCTACCTTCAGAGACCGAAGGAAAACTTTTCCTCTAACAAGAAATGTCTTTTTGCTAATTATTCTAAACTAACTAGGGAATCTTTATACGTATATTTCTTAATTTGTGATTCCAGGCAGGGATTACCAGAGGAAACACAGACTGAAGATATATCTGGAAAATGTGCATTTGTGAAACTCTTGCACTGACGAGCTATCGAACATGACAGTAGATTGGACTGAGATCTGGATAGTCCTTCAACAGCTGTGCATCTTGGTGATGAAGTACTGGGGAGAAGTGAGATGTGAATATTCTTGCTGGGAAATAAATTCCCAGAGATAATTGTCTAATTTTTTTCTAGGGAGCAAGGTTTGGCTGCTGCAGCTGTGGAGTGCAGGAGGCCCACAGAAGCAGAGGCAGAAGCTAATTACTATTGAGCTGAGCCATATGAGATTAAAAAGTAAAGACCTTCATCTTCCATGTTCCTGCTTATCAGGGTAGGGCTCTAAAGCCACAAACCTTTTGCAGAGGGAGGTCCAGATAACTGGTTGTGTTTAATTGTTGTTGAATCAGTTTTGCTTTCCAATAAAGCAAGCTGTTTCCCAGGGAGTTCTGCGCCCGTGAAGGTTTTGCTCCAAGACACGCTGAAGTCAGTGGTAGCTTTTGGCAATCACAGACTTACAGTGACTTCAGCGGGCTCTGGATCAATCTTGGACGGAATCGTCAATCCCAAATAGCAACATATTCTTCGGATGTTACAAGAGAAGGAGCAGTCTGGATTTCTGTAGACTGCTCTGCTCGTGCTTCTAGGGGATGGATCAGAAAAGATGACATTCACAAATGAGATGGCAATGGGACAATGAGCCCTCATCCTCAGTTCTGCCAAAGGGGTGTCTGCTTAAAGTACGAGGCATTTTAAAGAGAGAATTAAAAGCCACCAGAAGACAACTTCTACTGTCATCACAGGTCTCTGATATACAAGAATAAGAGACTTGCTGGTGAATGGCCTTGCTTATTAGCATGCCCAATCTGCCTGTCGACATCCAAACACACATCCTGAAACACACTGTTCACTTGCTTGCTGCAGAGATAATTAGACCCACTAGAAAAATGTCGTTGTATGCAATACCCTTTTTATCAAACTAGCTTTATGCACTTAGCATGGAGAAGTGTATTATCTCCTCCGAATCATACTTTCAAACACATTTACTTGATTAGAAATTAGCTGTGATGCCAGAATGAATAAAAGTAAAGCAAACAGAAAAACTGCTGATGTTGCTATAATCTTAACTGCTTTGGACAACTCTGATCCCTCTACTTAAAACAGCAAACAGTGTTAATTACATAGAAAAATAACTCAGACTGATTTGTTTCTTTTAGGAAAAACTAAGTAAGCTCTTTCTAGCTGATTTATATTTCATTAGAAGCATGATGTTTGGATGATCAAATTCTTTGTATGCAAATAATTTCCTTTGTATTTTATAGTTGTTGGGGGGAGGAAGCAGTGTTTTAAACTCTTCAGAAATTACACACCACAGCTATTCCTAAGTCTTACTGAAATATTGTATGAAAACAAGATTTTTCCATCCTCTGAGATAAGTTTTTTTAAAAAAACAGATCCAAGGATCATAGATTGAGTACAGATGGAGAGAAGCAGATTTTGAAAAATTTTGAACCTAGCTCTCAGAAATGGATAAAAAAACCCCATCCATGCAGTGCACTGAGAAAAAAAATAAACAAGCCCAAACAGTTCTTCACAAAGGCTGAAAGATTAGAGCACAAATCTTAAATGGCACATCGTGAAGAACTGTAGCTATGTTGCAGAACAGATTTTTGCTCTCCCTAAAAAGCCACAGAGGGACATGACTACTCTGACACCTCACACAATAGACTCGTGACGACGACGTAGTTCCTATCAACCACAAAGTCCTCTTAGGTCATTTTTTTCAGGAGCAGCAGTCCTCTACAACTGGATATCAAATGATGTGCCAACTTTTACAAAGGTATCGAAGGCATTCCAGGAGGTGCTAGTGAACAAGACAGAGACTGTTCTTGGGATGACAGAACAAAATAACGGGCAATTTATCTATTAAAATTCTTCAGATTCTCACATTATATTCATTTTAAATGCCCTGTAATTTCAAGCATTCATAACAAATACATGCTACAATCCAGAACACAAAATGTAAGAGAGTTTCTTTCCTTTTTTTTTTTTTTTTTTTTAAAAAAAAAAAAAAAAACAAAACAGAGAAGCCTGAGTGGCTCCAGGGACATTTGGAGGAGAGTCTCCTTTATACACCCCTGTAATGGAGAACTGAAGAGCAGCATTCTGGAGACCCACTCCCAAAACTTATTATAGGGATTTACTGGGAAAGGGCAAGGGCAGATGGAATTATGGAGCTGAGGGGAACAGTATTTTCAGCCATAGATATTCAGGACAGTGGGAAAGCTGAAGGACAAAATGTGGAGCCACATAGGACATAATTTAGGCCACAAAGACCACAAATTACTAATAAGTTATGCCAAGCACTGCTCCATGATCTGGAGGTATCAAGGTTGATTAACGCTGTCGATTAAAGCTGTCTCATCTGCCTTTCATTCTCATCCTCAGAGATTTCAAAAGTAAATATTATTAAGGGCAAAAATCATAGTCCCTTTGGACAGAATGGTGGTTTATAACGACTTATGCTCTTAACATGGTTGACTGATTAAACAAATAATTTGTGCTTAATCAAGAGATTTTTTATCAGCACAGTGCTCACTCAGTGCGTTCAGGGGGACTGTGCTTGTTCTTAATATTGGAAGCTGAGCATGAAGCCGCTAAAGGAGAAGAGGAAAACCAGAACGCAAGCTACACTTGGCTGAACGAAAATGTGATAAAGGAAAATTTCAGCTACTTTTACAACATTAGACTCCCAAGTTTGCTACACTGACTTATCTTGAGTAGCACTCATTCCTGAGGGTGAAGCTTTTTAG